GGCAAAGGCGGGTCAGTCGCATCACTTCAGCTTTATAGCAATTACCCAAGAAGAAGTTTAAATGTCTTCAAGAGAAAAAAGTATATATATTTCCAAACCATCTTACCTCTCCCGTACTCAGATTTAAACTGTCCATTTCGGTCTCAAATGTCTCCCCATCCAGAAGTTTCTCTTGAGTCCAGACTTAATAAATGACTTCACATGGAAATCAAAGTAGATATGGAAAGCAGGATGCCCACTTTTCAGCTCCTCTCATGAAGTTCAAAGTGTATTACAGTTGGTGTGTGTATCACCCTGCAGATTACCTTTTATAGACACATAATAGCCACAAATAGCTTGCAGACAGCAATCTGCCTGCTGGGCAGTGGTAACAATGTTCACAACAGGAGCAGCACACACACGGGAGAAAAATAGCCACAACTGTTTCATTTTGCTTTTGACTTTCTTTTAAAACAAACTCTCTCTTTTTCCTCACATTTCTCACAACTCAGTTGAGTTGATCCGGTTGTCACCCACAAATCTTTACAGTTTCACTGTAATAATACTACTTTGTCTGTAACACGGTTTTAGAAAGCATTACTTTTCAAAAAATTCAGTAATCGCATTACTGTTACTAAAATTACTGCTTCACAGTCAGACACACAAAAGAAACTGTCCTGAGTGGGAGCTTTCTTTCAGTATTTTTCTTACTTTTATTGTTTTAGAGCTTCACACCCAACTGGTAGCTGAGGATGGCCCAAGTGTTTGCTTCTGATTGTTGTATGATTGCAAGGCATTTACCTTAGAATATAAAGTACCAAAATCAATAGAACTGAATTAAATAGGTTTTACGTTATCTTTTGTTTTAGCTTGTGTCTATTGTAATTTGTATAAGTGTTTGTTTCCTAGTATTTCACTGTGCAACCCTCTGTCTCATTTCCATATTTATGCCTTGGCCCCTCTCCGATTCCTTGATAAGTGTTAGTATTCATGTCTGGCTTTTGAAAGGTTTGTTTCCTTTCCTGTGTTGGTGTTTCTTCTTATCGTCTGTTGTTAAATGTGCTCACCTGTAGTCCTCCCCCTCCTCTCTCCCATCACTCATCAGTTTCTTGAACCCTTAAAGTCCCTTATAGTCTTTCATTGCATCGCGTGTGATCCTCTGTGGATTTTCCTTGGCATGTTTCTGTGTTTCCCATGCATGCAAATTTCCCACAAATGGGACTAATAAAGATTATCTTATAAGGACAAGTCAGTTTTGTGGGTGTGTGTGCGTGTGGAGTTGAAGTGGATGGTTGGAGGGCTGATGGGTGAAGCAGACATCATCTGTTACACATATAAAAAAGTATGTCTGTGAAGGTTCTCAGTCATCCAGCTCATCGTAGTCAAAGGAGCTTGCAATGAAAGGCGTCTGGACTTTTCACTTCTCATCCGAGAAGCTTCTTCAGTTCAGAACTGACGCTTTTCTTTGCAAGCTCCTTTGAATATACAAAAGTATATTGTCTGACAGAGGCCAGATTACAACAAAAAGAGATGAATGTGAAATGGATTATTCTGTGAAAAAAATGTGTCTTAGAAAAAAAAAGATTCAAAGGAAGGCATTTATGAACGTTTTGTTGTTGTTTTTTTATCTGATTGTTTGGCAAAGCTTTTGTATTAGCAGAGAACACTGAATAATAGCACCTTTGTCCTATTTTCACATGTAACCACCAAGAATGCAGCAGTTTGGTGCACCGAGGACAGCATTATAAAATTACTGTCATTTTTTGGAATGAACAACAATTATATACTTTTAAATAAAAATTCTATATAATATCAGATGATCATTTACAGTGTCCAGATAACCTAGAGTCCTGTAAGCCAGCAGACCAATGTGACATTTGCAATAATGAGATATCAAGCAGAAACAGAATTCATTACCCTGTTGCAACATCGACCTCCCGGCTCCCTTATCAGTGAGTGAAAACAGACCTCTGAAGTGGATGCTAATCCTTTACGTACACTACATTCTTCATTCCTGTCACAGCTGTTCTTGTCCATTTCCACCCTGCTGTCTCCCTCTTCCTGCCTGTCTACGGCAGAGAAAAACACATTAAGATAAAGCGTACTCCAACCCTGCTTCCTCTTCCTTTCTATTTTACTCAAACTGTTGTATACTCTCAGAAATATTGGCATTTTCTTTTATCGTGATAAGTTTCGACAAGTGCCCGAAATGCTTTTTGAGTGGCAAATCTTGATAGCTTCAACTTTTAAATTACAGCCTCGAACGATAAATGTGATCGTGTTTCACCTGACATCTGGCATCCATCATAAGAGGGTGTGGGGGAGAGTCACATGTAGGCAGGAAGCATGACTCTTAGCTTTCATCATTGAGGAGATTTTCTTACGAGTGTAGTGACACATCGATTTGGGTGGCATAAGTGAACATCAGCAGAGATGTGTGTCTAATCCACTTACAGCAAATCAGCATTTGAATTAGCAATTATCTTGACATAATGCTGTCATCATAGTCATTACTGCATTACATGATTACATTAACTCAGATCTCGTGTACCCCTGAATGCTATCTCCTTATTTGGTGTCAACCATACACCTGCGCCTTTCAAGACTCTGATGCTATTGTGACTGATCTGCCTGCAAAATACTCAAAACTGCTTTTTTTCAGTAGTTCCTGCTACAGATGGAGTCTCCACAACTACATTTTCTCCCTCAAACAGACACAAACACACGGCTGCAGTTTTGCTTCAGACACAGTTATTGTTCTTGACGACAGTGAACATCTTCAAGCTTGTGTTAGTGGTTGCAGTCTTTTGCACTATGTGGAGGAGATAAATAGTAAAGGAAATTTAAAAAAATCATGGCCAATCCAAACAAACAGCACTGGATTCTTCTTCTCTTGAAGCCACTAAGGGACGCTGATTATGACGGCACAATAGTTGAAACACAAGCAAAAAGGTCTTCCCTGCAAAAATCTTCCACATGTGCTAATGATGGACCCAGCTGAGACATGCGTGTTCAGTTGTTCATTATTCTGTAACATTATGAATGCGTGCGGATGGAACTGGATAGCAGACGAGAAAACTGTGTTTTAGCATTTTGATGTCTTTGAAGCTTTCACAAATTTGGGCTCTTTCTCAGTCGAGGTTGTGGAAAAAAATGCATGAATAAGATTTTCTTGCCTGTGGAGGCGTCTCCCTTCCCACTGGTTCATGTTACACATGAATGAATGAGTTCAAGAATAGTAAATGTTGTCTGGACTCAAGCGAAATGTCTTGTAAATTTTACAAATGGTGTTTAATATGGCGTTATTTTTCTACCACTATTCTGAGCGCACGTAAAAAAAGAAATTGCAGGTGCAAGTGTTGCTTTTTGAGACGAAATTTATTTTACCTCATTTGAGTTGTGAACGAAATGCATTCTAGGATATTGCATTTTGTCATTTCGAGCTGATTGGAGACCAAAACAGCCAATCAGATTAGTTGCATCCAAGTCTGTACTTAGGGCCACTGGGGAAAGAAAGTGGGCAAGTCTTTTTCTTTCTTCTTTTCCTGAATTCTAAGAAAAAAGTCAGAATTCTGAGAAAAAAGTCAGAATTAAAGTCAGAATTCTGACTTTAATCTCAGAATTCTGACTTTTTTCTCAGAATTCTGACTTTTTCATCAAAATTATTTTTTTTCAGAATTCTAAGAAAAAAGTCAGAATTCTGAGAAAAAAGTCAGAATTAAAGTCAGAATTCTGACTTTTTTCTCAGAATTCTGAAAAAAAATAATTTTGATGAAAAAGTCAGAATTCTGAGAAAAAAGTCAGAATTCTGAGATTAAAGTCAGAATCCTGACTTTAATTCTGACTTTAATCTCAGAATTCTGACTTTAATCTCAGAATTCTGACTTTTTTCTCAGAATTCTGACTTTTTCATCAAAATTATTTTTTTTCAGAATTCTGACTTTTTTCTCAGAATTCTGAAAAAAATAATTTTTTCTCTGATTTTTTTTCCAGTGGCCCTAATCCTCTTTCGTAAGTCTGTGAATGATTGGTTTTTGTGAATGATTGTGGCACAAATATAACGGTGTACAGACAGAGTTGAACGCTCACGGGCAGAAGTGTTGAGAGCACAAGCAACACATTGCGAGCAAGCGCCAATGCAAAAACTGAGCGATAGGGGCTGCTATTGTGTGTGTGTGTGTGTGTGTGTGTGTGTTGTGGGGTGTGTGTGTGTGTGTGGTCTGTGTGTGTGTATTGTGTGTGTGTGGATAATAGCAAACACTGAAATACATTTTTTGCACGCAGCAATGAATTTGTTCACTCAAATTTAGCTTTTCTTCACTCAAAATAAATTTCTTCTCAAAATGCAACACTTGCACCTGCAATTTTTACATGCGCTCAGAATAGTGGCAGAAAAATAACGCCATAGTTTGATTGTGTTTCTCAAAATGTATGGACATATTTTGGAAGTTTAATATTCAAAAATGTTTATGCATTTTTAAAACTAATGCATTTCAGATTATTTTGTTTTGCCGTATGGTCAAGTGATGAACATAGTTTGACAAAGTTAAACCTCAAGACTTGGGTAAAAATGGGCAATTAGTATGTCATTTTTATCCAGAAATGTTATTTTTGCTGTCAAAATGATAATTGTTGGCAAAATATATCGGAAAACGCTTGCCAGCTAATTCAACTAATAAGAACTAATATAACTAATATGACTATATTAACTGTAAAGATGTGTCTTTAGACATAGCCTGCAAGGCAACAAGTCTGCAGTTAGGTAATATATTATGTGCCTGTTATGAAAGCAATAAGTATAATATATATATATATAGATAGATAGATAGATAGATAGATAGATAGATAGATAGATAGATAGATAGATAGATAGATAGATAGATAGATAGATAGATAGATAGATAGATAGATAGATAGATAGATAGATAGATAGATAGATAGATAGATAGATAGATAGATATAGATATAGATAGATATAGATATATATGGTATACATAAGGCTAAAATAAGAAATAACTCTCCAAGGTTCAAAGCTATCCTGAATCACGTAAACCTAAAGTTTTTCATTATTTGAAGACTAAAAATCACTGCAGTAAATCTGACATTGTCAAAGGAATTTGTTTCCTACAGTAAAGGCACTTATGAAAACATATGCACTGTGACAATCTTCCCAGATTCACAGTTTATTATCTAGTCCTCCAAATCCATGTTCATCCTCCTCATCTCCTTCTGCGAATTTAAACAAACACCTCTTGAGACAGTTTCAAGTAATAGACTCTGAATTGAATTTCGCACACTGGATGTGCTTTCCAAACAGGTTGTATCCCTAAAGGAATATCACCCAGGAGTCATCACTACCATATATTAAAGAAGCAGACAATTTTTTGTGAGCAAAGGAAGAGTGAAAACAGAAACAGCAGCATTGTGCAATCTTACATTTGCACAAGTAAACACGCCTCCTGCGACTCAGATAAAAGCCTCTTGGAATATTGATATTGCTGCTTTTTATTGAGAAAGTAACACGATGTAATTATGCATTTACGGTCCGAACATTGTAGGGCTGTGGAAGCGAGATTGCAGATTCCTCCTGCGATGTGTCCGTTCTCTCCCTCAGCTCTGCGTATAATCTCACAAGTGTGCGTTTTGCTCATACAGCAGGTGTGTGAAGATGAGAAGCGGAGTTCAGTCAGTCTCAGGTCTCTGTGGGATTCAGACTCCCTGCTGTGCACTCTGTTCATCCATGTAGCATTTTATCACAACGTGGGCTATAAAAGGTTTAAGGGCTTCACACTGTCATGGGCGGAGACACTGTGTGCCTCTACGTCCATTACTTACACTCCGTGGTGTGAAGCAGAGGTATCCAGCAATCATTCGCTGTTTAAGTGATCACATTTGACATTCCAACCTGTATTTTATGTGGACTTTGCAGAGCTGTACAGTCGTCTTAATTCAGCTTTGCACGAAAAAAACAAACATTTCTAATAAGCATTTAAAGCTTTAAAAATATTAAACACTATCAGCAGCAGTTGAAACTGACAGGCAAACAAGCTTTGCAGTGACAGTAAAAACCACAATCCAACAGTCTGTTTCAAACCTAGACTACACAGTAACATCAGTGAAGCTTCAGTACTGAAATAAAACAAATAGCTGGAGAGTAACAGTCTGTGTCCTGCATCTCTGCAGCACCAATCTGTGGTCAGGGCAGACAGAAAGCACTGTCGCAGCGGTCAGCGTGCACTCGTTTGCCAGGACACTCAAAGTCACGTAGCAGTTCTCTGCAGGGGCTTTGTGACAAGAGCTCCACATCTTCATCTGAGGTAGAGGGATGAGTGAGGATGATCCGGGGGATCTGCCACATGATTGTTAGAGAAGGAAACAAGATGGAGTAAGGAAAGAGGCAAGCTATCAGGTGATATGATGTGAAGACGCTGAAGTCTCAGAAGAATAGTAGTATCTACTACTCCAGAAGACAGGACATTCTTTTAAACTCAGGTGGAAAAATGATGATGTCCCATTTTTTACTTGATCAGTTGACTGAGACTTACTCAAGGCCAAGACATAAAATATTTACACCCTGCAACCATTTTCTTATTATTTGTTTGCTTGTTTTTAATTGAGAAAGTACACTAAAAATTTATTTTTGGCTCTCATAAACACGAAGCAATAATTTTGAGCAAAATCCAACTGAAAAAAATCCAATCAAAGGTTTATTTAAGTGCACATCCTCAGATCCATTAAGATTAGAGTCAGGAGTTCCAAATTAGGTGTCCAATATCAGCACTACCTTAGCGAGAGACAGGTGGAATATGGTTTCTCCGATTCTTGCATTCTGCTTTCTGTTGAAGTGTTTGGTGTCATTATGCCAAATGTTAAGCATTTTCCCCAAAGCCTTCATGGTTGTGCATACATCTGGCAAGTCAATTTGTTTGAAAGTCTTTACACAATGAAAAAACATCATCAACAAGGGATGCAGGTTTTTAATGACTGCTAATATTGCCAAGATAGTTTGCCCTAGGACATTCAGCTCACACACACAGTCTCTAGTTGCAAAAGGAAGCCTCCAAGATCTGCAGGTAAGTCTTGCAACCATCGCGCTACAATTTAAAGAAAATATGTTGCAGGCACACAAGGAAGAAGCCTTTGCTGTACAAAAAGAGCAACAGAGCAGAAATATTAGCTTACTAATGAGTATGTCTGACCAGAACAGACAAATTAAGCAGCCACGGTAGCAGCAGACGTGCTCTCAGCAGATAAAAAGACAGCTTTTCATAAGAAAAGTTCTAACGACTGGGAAGCTCAGAACAGTGGAAATTTGATGGTTTGGGAGGTTGTTTGGCTGCTTCTGCGACTGGGCAGCTTGCACATAGTAAGCTGCCTCTTATCAAAGAGTGATTGAATATAATGTGAGTCCATCTGCGTGACAGTTAAAATCAAATGAAGCTTTCAACAGGATGGAGACCAGATGCATTACTAGAATGTGACCTCTGTGTTTATGATAAAAATAAGGACAAAAAAGCCATTTCTCCTAAGAGCACAAAACTAGTGTCTAAGGCCGGTCATGTATTTAGTTTTTCCACAAAAGATTTTGTCATTTGTCATTAAGACATTACTGAAAAAAATTTATTTTTCTTGTGATGTTTTTGTTAATACAATATTTTTACTTATGGGGCAGTTTCATCTTTTCTTGATGTGTCTCAAGACACTAAGATTTCCCTGAAAAATAATAACAATAGGCTTTATTTCAGAAGGAAGGATAAGAAATCTGCTTACTGTCATCGTCTGTTTCCCCCCTGCTAGGAAATCGTTTTTTGTTAAAGCCTCCGCCACCAGCTCAGACACAGTCCTTTTCAGATCACTCTCCAAATCAGACTGAAACAAGAGAAACAGAGCAAATTGGGAAGAGGTGCAAAAGAATTACTGAAGGAGTGCTGTTTCCTGAAGGTTCAATCCACACATGGCAGGTGGGGAAAAAGTGCGTTTTGTATGCTATATAATATATATTTGTAAACCACCCACAATGCCGTTGCCATTGCACACAACCGCCTCAATCTTCTTGGATACACAGTCTTCTGCGCTCTGCAGCTTGAGCTGTTTACTCTGGCCTCCGCCGTGCTGGCTGCACAGCTGCCGTCCAGCCACGTCCCGAGGATCCTGAGACACATCCAGGTCACGCACCACTCGAGGTAGAAGCCTCTCTCTGAGCACTTTCATCTTGATGCAACTCCCAGCATTCCTGAGGGCGCTGACTGCTTCGTGGTGGGTCGCCCCCTGCATGCTGATGCCATTGACCTGGGAGGGTGATGGTCACATTACACTTTGAGGAGCAATGAAACTAGGAGCATGAGTCAGAGGAGTCACACACACACACACACACACACACACACACACACACACACACACACACACACACACACACACACACACACACCATAAGTACTGAAATAGTATGTCTAAAGGTAGATATTCACTTCTTAATTGCGGTTTTCTGTTTCTCACAGCAGTGATTGTCTCCTCTGTTAGTCTTATGATGCCCTCCACTGGTCAGAAGAGGAACATCAATGGGAAGTACCTGAGTTTTATCTCTGTGTGTTATTTAAATTCACTCACATTTCACAAACTTGCACATACCGCACCCTTACATGTCTTGAGCCAACACTGCTTTCTTTATAATTGGCTATAGGAAAATGAGAAAAAGGTGTAGCAATTTACTGAAACTTGTAAATACGGTACTCTGCCATATTAAAGGTAAAAATTAAATCAAAATATTTGGCATGTACCTTTAATCTTCAAAGGAGTCTGAAATTTCTTAGGCAAGCTTATCTTTTCATGTCTTTAAGTAGTCTTCAGGAATAGTTCTCCAAGCGTTTGAAGGAGCTGAATGTTCCTGAGGAATGGCTTTTTCACAGCCATCCATTCACTGATATGCTTCAGTGAACTTTGGATGGATCAACTGAAGGACCAGATCCATCTTCTTAGCTGGATTATTCCTATTTCTTAAGGACACGACTGTCAGACAACATACAGAGATATGCCAAAATACTTATATACCATAATTTTGGACATTTTTTTGTAGAATCAACTAAAGAAGTG